CGGATTCATGGCGACAACGGGAAGTATGAGCAGCGTTTTCTGTATATCAGGGAAGGCGCTCCATAGACCAGTGGTTCTGAATCATCATGGTTCGTAAACCGGCAGAGGTGACGGAGGATCCCATCCGTAGTGGGTCTAGTACTTTTCGGTGTAGAGCGTTTTGCTGTAGGGCATTTCGGTGCGGACTTTTTGGTGCACAGACATTTCAGTGTACGGACTTTTTGCTGCAAAGACTTTTCGGTGTGGGACTTTTCGGTGCGCGGATATTTCTGTACACGGACATTTTGATGCATGGACATTCGACGCTATGGTTTGCTCACCGGTCTCTCTTTTCCAACGTACGCAGACACGCTTCACATCGTGTTTGCGCGTTGAGTTGATAGAGATAGTCTCCTCTATAAGGTTTTGGCTTTATTATTGGTCCTGCGTGTAGGAAACGACCCAAACAGCAAGACGTTTCAGGTTGTTTGTGCATTCAGAACAATTTTGAATATCTTCAAATGCGCCTCCTCCGCGTAATCGCATAGCTCCGATTGTTAATAATAAATTGCAATGACCTCGCACGACAAAAAAAACAAAACAAAAACAACAACAACAAAAAACAATGTAATTATCACTTGTAACTCATTAGGGAATAAAGTAGGCGTGGGGGGGTACAAAATAAGTGTAATCAAATCAAATATCGATTTGAATCAAGTAAACAAGCCGAATTTGGTGAATGCTAAATCTATTTTATTTGGTATCAAATGTTTGCTCATTCTCGTACGAAAAAAAAAAAAAAACAGTGACCACAGATCATACACAGCGTATGATGATCTGTGGTCTACGTCTCCTTCCATGCCGTAATGATGTCGCCAGACGTAAAGAACTGCCTTACAATCGTGCTTATACAGGGCGATTTTTTTTAACGACTAGACATTTTTCTAAAAAAGGCTGCAGAGTTACGCAATTGCGGGTTTTGCCTCATCTGTAGTCATCAAAAACACCAAATCATTCATTTTTAAAGAGATGTAGTGGACGTGAAGTGGCTCACGGCGTCCTAAAAAGCCTAATTTGGACAGGAATCGTGTTACCGCAATCTTTTCGGCCAGCGCACTCCTCGCCCCTTCTGCAGTGGCGTTGTCACAGCGATGCGCATGATTTGTCGCTTTGGCTTCATGGCGTTAGGCTGTGCCACGCGGAGATGGAGCCCACATAAAATCAGAACTATATTTTCGCGCCCAAATTAGGAGGACGCCGTATAATTGTGTACGCGCGTTACATCTTTTTAAGAATGGACGGTTTCGTGGCTTACGATTATGGCCAACAACTTTCTAAATACAAGATGCCGTTTTCTTTTCTAATTAAAAGGTTAATTAGCGAATTTTAGGCAATCGGTCGGTTTTAGTTGCGTACGTTATTGAACCCTATCCTCGCCTGGCCGTATAACTTACCTACACAAACCGCGATGGCGCTAATTTTCACTGCACAATTTGGTGGCTTTCGATTACGCCCAACAACTTTATAAATCACTATCCCGTTTTCTTTTATAATCAAAAAGTTAATTAACAAATGTTAGGTAATCAGCCGGTTTTTGTTGCGTTCTTCCTTGAACCCAATCTTCGCCTGGCCGCATAGCTCACATCGACAAAACGTTAATTTCCACGTTTTTTGTAATATCTAGTAGGTGAAAAAAAACAAAACAATAAACGTTGTATATAAAACAGAGGGCAGTTCTTTTCTGATATAAATAAAGCATGCATCTCTTTCTTTTTCCGGCCTATGAAAACAAATACCGGGACATTCGAAATTGAGTTTATGATGGGGCGGGCGCTATATTACGGGGTATTTTGTCATGTTTCATAAGCTTTATTACTAGTCAGAAGGAAGCCACGCGAGCCGTATCACGTTGCAAACAGCTAATCGGGTGTTTCTCAAGCAGCTCTTGAACTTTCCAAATGACATTTTGGTTCTTAATACATCTAAAAAAGTTTGGTACTTAGTCCTAAACATTTAATTTATTAGGCATAATGAAAATACTGCAACTCTCGCAAGACGTCTGCCCAAAACATAAAGTTGGTTTCATTGGCGTAAAGTGGCTGCGTCTTTCATTTTTATGCTTCGTCTTTAAAGATTCGTGAAAAGCATTCGCGACCTTATCTGTCAAGCCGCGTACGCGGACAGCGCGGCCTCCTCGGCAAGTTGTTCCCTCATCGAAGACGACAATGAATAAAAGGTACGATCAAAATTTTAATGCCTGAAGAAAGCGCAAGTTTAAAATAATTATAAGGCTGTCAGTTGATTTTATTTCTGCTATATTCAAATTTCAACACTCGTCGCGGGCAGCATGAAAGGAAGCACTGCTTGGCGCGAACCAGTGCCCAGTCAACGGTCCTACACTCAAACACGCATCCCCACCCGACCTGTTTGAAAAATAAATAATTTCCAGTACTTTTGGTAGAAAATGCGAATTTTCTACTGAGCGTGATATTTTGTGGACCCGAAAGTCCTGTAGCCAAGATCGGTAGTTCATAGCTTCAGGAAGACGAAGAACGACGGATGCATTATTTCCCGCGGAAGTACTGTTTTGACTTTGAATTCCACATAAAATTGTAAATGCACAAATTGTGGCACGATACCAAACTTGCTTGATTACTTTTCTTTTAAAGACAACATAACCAGGCATAATCTATGGATATTGCAGAATTCATTTTAATTGGCGTACTGCGCGAAAGACAAGTATGGAGATAAAGAACACAATAGAGCTCTGCATTTCTACTGAATTTGTTTCCGTACTTGTTGATAGTTAGTCCGCATGAATATATTCAAAAACTGCCAAATCGTTTAAGCCTACCCCTTTTTATAGTTTTTTTTCGTAGGTGAATTGTGGCGAATTTCGGCTGGGTTCGGGTAAAGATCTCGCACGTGTTCAAGGACGCATTTCGGCATGATTTCCTGCTTGGTGACGACGTTGAGCTGACCGCTGTTCCGCTTCCTTTCTAAGTAGGCGGGGAACGCCAGACGCCTAAATTAGCCAAGCAGCCCCAAAACTTGCGGTAGCACACCTTCCGAACTCCTGGTTTTTTTTGGAGATGGCCTTCGCCCACCCTGAAAAAGCCCCAAACAATTATGTAAGGGCTGCAGAGGCTATCTGGGCATTCCATTTCTTCATCAGCGAACAAATGCGAACAGAAGAGAATGAAAACTTCGTAATACCTGCTGTCTTTTAATAAATGGCATAATATGCTACTATTGCTAGTTGCACTATTTTACGCGAAGAAAATTGTGATTTTGCGGTTCAATCTCCGTGTTTCCCGTTCTCTTTGCTGATACGCAAGATATTTGTCGGGTGTCAAGTTTTCAGTTACATTTGTTGACAGAAACTAAATGCATGTTTGGCCACGAAGAAATTTTTTTCAAAGGCTGAAGATAGATGAAATATACAATAAATTGTTTCAGTTTTTATGGAAGTTTGTTTTTACTCTTCTTAGTAGCTTGAACGAGGCGGCCGTCACTCTAGAAAACACCTGTAGTACGAACCTATATATTATGCCTCAGAAATGGTCAGACTGTGTCCCTTTGACTGCAATATATTTGACTTGTAATTACTCATGATTATTAGTTTGTACAAAAAAAAAAAAAAAAGAAACACAATAGTGATACAATCACTCTTCAGAGTGCCGTTGTTAGAACGACCAATTTTCAACTCTCTGGGTAGAGCTCAAAGTTCAGATAAAAATACCCATCTTCTTTCCTTCTGCTGTGATGTTCAAGTTCCGTTCGCTCAAGATAAATATGCGGTGTTGTAGCGTGTGTGGCCGCATGCGGAAGTATCCGAATGTAAAAGAACTTGTTGTTGGGCCAGTTGGTGTTGACTATCTGAGTGTTTTTTAGAACTGCAGAAAAAGAGCAAAAAAAAAAAAAAGAAAAAAAGAAAAGCGAGCCAGCCCGAACCCTTCCGAGCTCATATCCAGCCTGCCTAACTAATCCCTGGTGTTTGGGATTGAAGCAGAGAACCTTGAAGGGTTACAGAGATTTTGTCGGGGGGCCGGTAAGCCCATTAGCACTCGTGCGAGAAGGCCGTAAAAAGAGAGGAGGAAATGGAGGAGGAAAGGGGAGGAGGAAAAAAAGAAAAGAGGGAGAATCTTCTGCCACGCTGAAGAAAATTTTGAGCGCCCGCCTTTAACGGCCTTCCCACGCAGCTTCTGGGCTACGTGAGAAAGAATCGCTTGGCGGAATGCAGCCACTACTCGGACGAACGGAGCGTCACATAAGCGCGCTCCTCCATAGAGCCACCGAGCTTCATGTATGCGTACCTCCCTCCCAAGTGAAGTTACGCAAGGGCCATTTGAAGAAAGAGAGCACATAAAGGGATTCTGCAAGGGTGCAACCCTCCAGCTAAAATAACTATGATGAGACATTCGGAACTTAAAACAGTGTGCAGCTTTCAGTGTGATTTACTGTTGATTTTTATTTCTTTAGTAGCGAGTAGAGCGAGCCTCCATGGTGTGGGCAAAAACCTCTTCTCTAGCATCCGGTTTTTTGTAAACGAAATAAAGCATTAAATCATTAAGATTACAAGTGGCAAATGATGGAGCGGCGACGAATTAAAGGAATGAAAGTTTAATGCCGAACTTGTGCTACTACAAAGAGGCGTCCTTTGTCACATGATCCTACCATCTTGTGGGGTTCGGAACAGTTATAAAACATTCGGGACTCGCCACACTCCGACGGATGATAATTTTTCGTATCGCGTATCAAAAACGCAAAATTCGTGTCAACATCCCGAACGTCCTCGATTCGTTTTTTTTTTCTTTCTCCGATAGCACCGTTCTTGCGGATGTTCGCCAGCCGACAAAACATCCGGCCGCACGAGAGCGCAACATTACTTCCTTTGTGGCACGTGACAGAGATACGCTCCTTTTCTTTTCTCTCGGTATGTGCATGTTTGCGTAAGACATCTGCGGAAGCAGATTGTCATATTCAGGAGTCAACTTTTATTACGCCCCACACTTATTGGCATTTGTTCGGCACAGCTGGCAGTCAGGTCTTTTGGGCGACTATAGAAGCATGCCTTCTCGAATCGACGTCCTCTGTGCTGCAGCTTTCGTGGTGGCATTTTGTCACATTTTGGGCGGATCCATAAACCGTGTCGCCGTTCCCATAAAAAATGGCAAGTGCTTAAGTTTTATTTGTTTATATCTGTATTCAATGCATGTCTAAATAATAAACCGTTATAAAGATATGGATGTGTTTTTTTTCTTAAGCTTAACAGATATGTTTAAAAGAAGCCGCGAAAGCTACACTCATGCTGTTTGTGCAGGTGAGTTCCACAGCCGGAGGAACATTGTGTATAAGGCTAATCGTAACGATCAGTCGGATAATTAGGTAAAATTTGTTGATTAACTTTTTAATTAGCGAAATTGGATATATGCTTTCGATAAGAAACTTGCTGAGCATCATGAAAAGACAACTAAATCCATCATTTTTAGGAACACTTTGATCGCGTGCAAAGCGTAGTAGTGCGCTAAAGGTATACCATTCGTGCAGCAGGTACAAGTCATGGGGCTTTGATTAGAGACTGAGAAATCGAGCGGGCCAGTTCTCGCACCGGTAGCCTTGCTTATGCTGCACGAGATGTAATTTTAGCGCACTACTGCGCCTCTTAGGCGCTCAAAGTCTTTCTAAAAATTACGTATTTATTGGTTTTTGATAACGCCCAGCAAGGTTTTAGTTAGAACCATGTGTATCTTCCATAATTAAAAAAGTTAATTAGCAAAATCTACTTAAATATTTGACGGATCGTTAAGTTTAGGCCTGTCCGTATAACGTACCTATACGTACACCACACGAGTGAAGCTTTCACGGCTTTTTTCAAACAAATCAGTTAAGCTTAAAAAAAAAACCTGTATACTAGAAAGCGTGTAAGTGGAGCCGAGGTCTTCGCGAAACCGCGGCCTTGCCTTCTAGGCGGTGGGCTCCGGTTGTTCTAATCTGCAGTTGGAATATAGGGAGGTAGAATATTCGGTAAGATATATATTTCCTTTCGTAAGTATTATCCCGTTTACTGTGCTCATGTGATTCAAATGCCTATCTCGTACTTTGAATTACCAGTGACGGTAACGTAAAGATCTTTACTAGAGAGATATAGGGAACCGTTTTTGGAGATTCGATACGGTACGAAGTCCACGTGTGTTTGTCTGTTATGGTAGCACGTGCGCAGTTCGTACCGGAGTACCCATCGTGCCGTATCGGACGACGTGCAAGAACGGTTCCTTAAAACTCGATGATGTACAGTGGTGCAAAAGAGCCCGTGAAGGAACAGGAGCGTGCGGTCTCGAGGTATAGACTCGCGCGTTATGCTGGTGGCGAGAGGGACCACGCGCGAGCCGGACGCCGGCCGGTTGCGAGACGAGCGCGGTTATCGACAGACGGTTGTCCGGCATAGTTTTAATTGATCGCCCTTGCATGTTTTAAATCGTTCACCCCGAGTGAATGGTTTGCTATATAGCAAGGCCGGATAACCAGATGTTGATAGCCACTAATCTCGGAACCGGCTGGAGCCCGGCTCGCTGGGTTCCCCTTGCCGCCAGCACTAAAGCGCGCATGTCGCTCGAGATCCTATGCTCCTGTGGCTTCGTAGGCATTTTTTTCCGCAAAAGCATATATATTAATAGCGTGAGGATATTTAATTTACTTATAATAGTAATACGAGGATCTTTGTGAATATACTCAAAGGATAACGTAGCTAAAGGTTTCTGACATAAGGGTCACGTATGTTGGTAAAGGAAAACATATACAATGCTTTGTTTGCAACGTGGCTCAACGCCTGTCAGCTATTATACTACCAGACAAATGGGCTGGTACTTTGGGTAGGTTTCCAGAAACTAACCCCGCGGTAGCGTAGAAGGGCTCCCCGTTTAATGTTAAAACATTTGAGCATTAGGAAAATATCTTTTTTCCTGTTACAATGCACCAACGTTACGGTTTGGTTTCAAGATTCGGATAGTATAATGCATGTTTAAGGTTGCTGAAGTTAAGAAGTAGCACTTTGTAACCGACCATATTGAATTACGTATAGCGCTTTTGTATTCTATTGCAGAATTAGTAAGTTCCGTTTTTCTTGCAGGAAAATGTGATTACGACGGCCATTTGCTCAGTGACAACTCTGCCCTTGATCGCCAGAGTCCCTGCGAGAAAGTTATCTGCGACACCGAACAACGAGTCGTTTACATCGGGTTGTAAGTTGAAATCCCGTCCTAATAATCCGTTAGACATCAGCTGACTTGAAAGAAAAAATACAAATACGTATAGCCCTAAACTTTACTGGGTCATGAATAATCAATTAACGTGAAACGTTTATAGACTAGGCTTTTCATGTGAAGTGTAACCTCAAAAAGCGTAATCGCGAATTCCCCCTCTAAAGCTCGCGGGGAAATGACGTCAGATGACTTTGTGTCACGTGACCTATACATGCTTTTTGTTTCCCCCGAGATTTAGCGTGAAAATTTACGTCGCGTGACCTCAACACAAAACTAGTTTCCCCGCTAATTTTAGCTGCAAACACCATGTAACATGTCCTCACGTCATGTGACCTATACACGAATTCAGTTTCCTCGCTAGATTTAGCGGGAGAAAAATGACGTCATATGACATGATGTCACTTGACCTCGACGGAAATTCAGTTTTGCCGCTAGATTTAGCGGGAAAATTGATGTTGCGGGACCTACACATAAATAAATACTCTGTGGACGCTGGCCGACCCGACGGGGGAAATCAATGGGTTAATGGGTCAATGGGCCAACGATTGAATGGGTCAATGAGTCAATGAGTCAGTGAGGTGGAGGGAAGTGAATGGATGTGGAGGGCAGGCACAACTCGAGAAGAGATGCCTGCTGGTTGCTAGCACTCAACCAAGTACGTTGCGCCTAGGAACACACTTGCAGGGCAATACGCGATACATTTTGTTTAGTAAGTGGTATGCCTTTTTTTATAAAAAGCGTAAGTTCAATGCGCTTCCAAGAACTCTTGTGTTCATCGTAATTATGACGTTCGATTACGCGAGTATGCTACAAAAACGCCCGTGAGCTCACCTCCCTCCAAACTATGGAGACAGTCAGTCATGGCGAGCGATAAATGGACACCATTATGATATCAACGCAAAGTCGGGAATGGAGAACGTAAAAAGAAAAACACAAATTATGGAGAAAAAAAAAAACTGGAACACACAATGCCAACAAACATTCAGGCGTTTTCTGTCTGCCCTTTTCTTTTTCTACCCCTTTAGTTTTTTTTTTCTTTTTAGTACCAAGTCTCGGGTTATTCTACATGGGAAAGTTTTACCAGCTCGCGTGCACACCATGGGCACTGCCAACGTAAGAAACTCAGGGTACAGCAATTTCGTCTTGCACTGTATAATCTCTCTTTCGACCATGGGATTTCGGCAATAGCAAATACACATGAGCGTGAACAAAACAAGAAATCTTAAGCCAGAGTTCTAAGCAGAGTAAGAGACCGCCCTCCTTTTTTCAAATATGTAAGTACAAAAAAAAATATTTTCGTTCATACAAAGACCCAAGCCAACGACGTAGCTTAGAATACGAATAGATCACTAAAATATGATAAGCGCGATGACAGCGAGCAAATTACATGTCATACTTGTTTTACACGAAAACATCGCATCTTTAATCTAACCTTACACTGGGCTTCGTCGTTCGCTGGAATTGGCTGTGCGTGTTGCCGGCATAGACGTTCTTAGATTGTAGAAGAAATTCATGTTTAATCAATCATTTTGATTCGCATTTTAAATGAACATCTGCTTTTTTATCTGTTTGTGTTGTTTTTGTTTCTTTTCCGGCAGGTGCCCGCCGGTGGCCAACCCTGAAAACTGCGAGATAAGAACCCGCGACGAACGTTACCCCTACTGCTGCCCTCAACCCTACTGCGGAAAACCCTAGTTCACTGAAATCGGAATGGGCGCCTTAGCCCAGGGTTAATATGTATTGCTGTCCTTAACATGTTCTTTTGAAAACTTTTAGCTTTTTATTTTTCTGTCTTAGAGAGTATGGTAGTAAATTTAAGCCTAAATTTCTCTTATCGTGGCCATGGTTACAATACACTGGGCGCTGCAAATTTTCTTTCCGTTCTAAAGTCATGGCACCTTAAACTTGCAATGTTAGGGTATAACTTTTGATAAAAAAACAAGTTGTTACTTTGATGGAAGCTTATATTATATCATGAGTGAATTTTAGTAATAAAAAAAGTTGTATACAAATGAGGTTTCTATAATTACACCTTGTAAAACAAACCGCGTGTAAATTACAAAATGTTATCGTACGTGTTATACGGAAAATACCTGAGAGAAGCAAAACAAAAAAGATAAACCCAACAACAATGTACAAGGTCGCACAAATGCCATTAAAAAGAACATAACACGGGAAAGATCCTATAAGTCTTTTGTGTTCGTCTTCTTTTTCAATGTCATTGTCTCAGTTTTTGGTTTCAGTGTAACGGTGTATCAGTCTGCACGCCTACGCATTAACCCCCTTTGTAGCGTTACTGTGCCCACAGCTTAAGTGTTTTTATATTAACGATTGTACATACCGACTCTACATAAGGCGCCGTAGCGTGGACATTGTCGAAGGCAGGGGAAACATATTTGCACAGTAGCAGAAAACTATAGCTAGACCGCGTGGTCTCGAAAAAGCCTGGCAAACTAGAGCTTTTCGCATCTTCAAGAAAAGAAAAAAAAAACTGTTAAATGTGCTCAAATAATTTTCCAACACTTTCATAGGAGGGAAAGAATAAAGATGTGGTCTAAAACTTGCCGAGTCAAAAAAATAGATCAATAAAAGCTACCGCTTGAAAATGAAAATAAATCTAAAATTTAGCTCAGCGAGACAATGTTCAATTATCCCTTTCCAGCATGTGTCAAATATGCGGTCATATTTCTGACCAACGCCCTGCGTTGCCCACTAGGACTACGGCCTTGAGGAGCCGCCCTTATTTGCACAAAAGTTATCGAGACCGCGCTGCGCTGGAGCCCTAAACCGACAGTGCCCCTGGCGGGAGAGGCGCGAAGCCCAAGTGAAATGTCGGTCCCTTTTGTTTCCTTGTTGAGACATCTGTCATACCTCTGTACCTTCTACTTTTTCTACCGCAATCGAGATTGCGCTTCACTTTGAACTACGGAACAGCAGCCTTCGCGTGGAAAACCCGAAGCTTCGACGTATTAAAAATCATGGGTTGCTTAGCGTGAACAAACTTCATCATCCCCTCCCCCCCCCCTCTATAGAACGTAGCAGAAGTGCAATAATAAAAACTGCAAGGCCACGACCTTTTTCTTTTTCCTTTTTCCTTTTTAGTTGACAGGCAAAGAAGTGTGAATTATTTTCCGGAACATCAATTGAGAGAACGGTTCCTTTACTCAGAAGCCTAGATTTTGATGGGATATCGGGAATTTGTTTTTTTATTGCTTGCAGAAGAAATGAATTATCGTCTGATATCGATGAAACCGTGGTGAAGGATTTTATATCTATAAGAAATATTTTTCCAATAAACGCATATGATCAAATAACATTGTGTAATAACATTAAAAACATTAGAAGTACATATAAGAACATTATAAGAATATATTAGAAGCTAAAAGAAACTCCTTTTCAGTTTCTTATAACTTCTTATATGCTCTCGTGTGGTTATTAGTTCTTATATTATCTTATTTGACCTAATGGGTTTACTGGACCAAGAGGTTTCTGATGCCTATAAGATTTTTTCACTAGGAAACTGACTGGGGCATAAGGGGACGCGTAGAATTGAAGGTTGCAGATGTTTTCACATTAGCTCATTCTTCTATAGCCCGTTACACATGCCGCTTGCGAAAAGCAGGGTGTAGCATATCATGTTTCTCAATCCTCGCTTCCTGATTGGTTCATCGCCTTTCTTATCGGTGAATGCCGCAGTCTCGTTGGCTGAGGAGAGATAACAAGATGGACAGAATTGTCACACCCTTCGTTTCTTAAGGTGTCAGCGACTGTCCCGTAAATTGTTTAATTTTATACGCAGAAATCAATACTCAGTTTCTCCCGCGGCGCCATTGCTCGTTGCGTACATACGACGTTGAAGAATTGGGCAAGTTGACTGCTTAGTTAATCGGTGCAAGCGTGCTGACCACACATAGTCATGTCTCGTTAGATACACATTTCCGCCTCCCTCCGCCCCCCCCCCCCCTCCCCGCGCACACACATCTTCCATCACGTGCGTTATCTAGAATATCTGATATTTATAAGATTCTTTGTTCAATAAACGCATATGATCAAACATGATCATGTGAGAACCATGCAAGAGTATGTAAGAAGTTGTAAGAAACTGATAAGTTTCGTATAAAATAATATATAAACTTATATTGTTTTTATGTTCTTATTCGCGACTCCAGCAAAACGAACGCCACCAGGCGGGAAAACCGGGAACCAGCCGGTCCAGGTCGCTCGCGCCCCTCCGCGTCTCTGGTGGCTTTCGCGGAAGCGTGGAGTGGGCGCGGTCGCGAACACAGTAATTTGACGAAGGTCCGAATTTTTTTTAAGTTTGCCTGAGTGATCATTAGTGTGGTGAAGCCTCACTAGATTGTTTTCTTCTATTACGTGTTTGAAAGCCCGTTTACTTCACAGTACACGGTCGCGTGCTTTCGATTCCTTGGATGGAAAGGAATCACGGAAAAACATTTTGATTTCTTCTCTGTCTCGATTCACATTCAAAGTGACGACTACTTGGTAACTGATAAGTGGTTTCTTTATAAGGATGTAGAACAGTGGACTGAGGACGACAGACGAGGCATTTCACTGGAGGGAACATCAATGTTGCAGTCAAGTGAATGGGAACGTTCGATAGCTGCTTTTCTTGAGTTTGGTTGTGTTCGGCTATAGCTTCAAGTTTGAGCCACCCACCCCGGTCGGTTCGTTGGCTATTCATCTTGACTGCTTTTCGCCGAAAAAGCCTCTGGACCACACCGAAAGAATTGGGCTGATTCCGCAATTACTTGATTCAGGAAAACCTGCTCGCTGCAAATTATGAATGATAGAAATTATCTGTTTTAAAAAGGTGGGGGACGAGTCTCGCAACGTTAGATGCTGTCACGGCATTTTGACCTATCGCGCCTCCAATATTTATATTACGAGGACGTCGAAGCCAGCAGCAATATACTTCTACATTGCTCAGGTTGACCGGCCACAAAAAATACTAATTTTTTCCGTTCAGGATTCAAAGCAAAGTTCAATGCAGAGAGGTTCTGCGTGAATCTTTGATGAAGACTTTCTTCAGTTTGTCTCCGTGCTGCCGGCTATAGAACCATTTGGCTAAGTTTAAGTAGTATCTCTCTGTCTGTCAAATATACTTTTATTCAGCAGCTCACCTAATAGCTAGTCAACTCATATTTCAACCCGAAGAATATACTAATATCACCTCAGTGGACCATAGTACGTAATATAATACATAACCCGCTCGTCAAAATAACTTCTCGATTGCTACTAAAACCTGAATTGAAATACGAGCATCAGCTGCTTAGTGGGGCGCCAGCGGCTGGTCCTTGACTCAAGAAGCGCTTGCTTAATTTTCGTAATTTTCCTGCAGCCTGTGTTGTTGACCGAGCAGACGACTGGAGTTGTTTCTTAAACGCCGATACGGACAAAAGCTGGATTTCGCGAACAGATAATTCGCATGGTCGAGGCATGCGAGTTAGCTGAAAAGTTACTCTCTGTGGAACAATTCTGTAGTCATCGCCGCTTTCCTTAGATGATCAAAACTGATTAGTATCTTACCGCCCCTCTAGAGTCCATAGTTTCGGTTTTGAACGAAACCACCGAAACGAAAGTTTGACACTAAAAGAACAAAAAACACCGGCAAAACAAAACTATGCTTTGCAAGTTTATCTGCACCGGCTACACTTAACCGTCTCAGTTCAAATACCTATAAAATTGAACATCAAACAAAAGAAAATCTGTTAAATTAAACGCGCCACCTGTTCAGGCGGCCCGGCCGAGCCGACGCGACCTGGACTCAGCCGCCATGTTTGTTTGGTGGTGGCGCCCCCTATAGGTCGCTGGAGTCGCGAATAGGTTATCATATACTCTTATGTGATCTTATTTAATCATATCCGTTTATTCGGCCGCCAAAAGATTTGTTATAGATATAGACCAACTCAAACCACTGACGTCATGCAACTGCGGTGGCGCTGCTGTCGGTACTGCGGATGCGCAAACGCTTGACTTCTCCCGAGTTTGGTTTCCGGGCACGCACCCTGCTCACACCTGGTGTGGGAAAAGCGGGCTTCTTTCTAAACTCTCTGTTTGGGTATAAGCTTTTTAATATTTGAATAATTAATAATTTATTAATAATTAATAATTTTAATAATTTAATAATTTCTGTCTCGATATCATAAATGTACATTTATGATATCGAGACAAAAATGCTTATATTTACCCAATTCGTTCCATAAACTTTACCAATATAGGAGATATTCATATTAATAGCTAGGCTCTATACTAAGATGTCATGACTCTAGCGTGAAGAACGATCGCAAGTGGAAGAACTGAGCAAGACAGGCGCCATTCCTGCTATTAAGGCGAAAGCCTTATATGTCTCATCCTTCAGTCGACCTTCAAAGTACTTGAGCGAAAACATGTCGACGACACGAAAGGTACGAAAACCCACGGTCCGCCACTGGACCACGAGATAGGGTAACTTGTTGCGGAATCGGTGGAGGTTTTATATTCTTCCAAAAAGACTTTTCGCTCTTCTCGCTGAACTGGCATCGAACCAGCGACCTCTCATACAAGTCCTTAATGCATCGGTGCTCCTTCGAGTCGTCTCAGGGAGAACATAAAAGACATTGTGTTTTCTTTCTCACTTGTAAATTGGATTCTACTGCAATGAAGTCAGACAGTGTTCAGGGGGTGGTTCTCAGGGTCCCTGCGCTCTGCGTCTAAATTACCCCACACTTCTGCCTTGGAAATGATGAGCCTTTGGCCGACAATTGAGTATGTTTCATTTCTGATATTGTATACACGAAAAAGTTTAAGGAAATATCAGTGCGAGGATATTCCTCGAGGAACCACCTGGGCTCGAAGGGGGACATCGAGGCAATGCACATTAAATAAATGCCAGAAATAATTACGCTCGATTAAAAGGATTCACTGTGTTTTCGGGGAAACAATTAACACTCGCTTAAATCATTAAAAATAGCTATAAAATTATTGGCAACAGAAAAAAACAACATATCAGAATTACGGAGTTTGAGACATTTTTTATTTGTATCACGCGTACCCAGCGAGAGTTTCGCCTTACCCAAATGTGACAATAACGGTGTAAACAAAAGCTGCTGCATTGTCGAAGTCTTCCAGTGTAACATTATATAGTTTAG